TCTCTTTGATTTTTCTGTCTCGTTGACCGTCTGCTTTAAAATTAAATACAAAACTCGGTAAACATAGTATCCGATATTTGGGACCCTATTTATGGAGCATAACGAATAATAACCTACGTCAAAAACAGAGCCTTGAAGCATTCAAAGGTGAAATTCGTGGAATGGACATAACAGGATTGTTGGACGGGAGCTGCAATTGCCAAACGTGCCAGTCCTGAACAAGACGTCTGATTTTAGTCCCCCTTAAATTATTTATAGTTAAACTAATTTCACACTGTTGATAGGTCACAATTAGCGTTGTAAATAATTAATTCTTTTATAGTGAATTGTAAATTTTGTTTAAATTTCAAAAATTTTTTTTTATTGTTCAATTTTTAGCTTAAATTAAGGGTCCCCTAAATACTTATTGACACTTAAATAAAGTTTATGTATGTATTCATGCATATATGTATGTATGTAAAAAAGAGCAAAATTTATACTTGAATGTGCACTCCAACAGGCATTTACAAAACATTTTATTGAAACTGTGTATTTTTGTTTAATTTTATTTACATATATGCCACCAAATGTTTCGGATGGAAACAACAGGGTAACAAAGTCTCGAGAAGTAGAGAGTTCTTTTCTCCTTCTAGTTGCATCACAACTTCTTTTTAGCTGGGAGATTTAATAGAATGAAGGGAAGAAAATTGTCTGGCTAATAAATACAGAGTGAATTCTCTTATTATTTCCTCAACCTGGGGCCCGTTAATTTCTCAAAAGCCCCNTGTCAAGAATATGTGAATACAACATAAGGTTTGAGATTTTGCTATGGCTTTCTGGGTGCAAAAACCTTTCGGGACCTTCGAGAAACGGGTCCCTGGACATTAACTATATAGATATGTTTCCCTGTACAAAGTTTTTTCATTCATAAATCAAGGCTCCATAATTAAGTTAACAGTAACTTGTCTTATACATATAAACAACTTACGTATATGCTCCGTCAGATTTTGATTTTGATTTTAATCAATATGTAGGCGCTTTAACGCCGTTTATTTGTTTCTTCAGTACAGCGTGTTATAGACAATATATAGATATTACCGTCACAAATGGCTTTCACCTGTCGAGTTGTCGTTCTAATGTGAAAAACAAGAGGGAGCAGAAATTACCGACATAACAACTGCGCATGGGCAGAAAAAAAA